CCCCCCCCCCCCCGCCCCGCCCAAGACTCTACTTTAGCTCATCGTTACTTATTACACTGCCTTACTGTTTTTTAAATTGTCTTTTTTTATTGAAGTATAACAAACAGAAAAGTGCGTAAATCATAAGTGTACTGTTTGATGAAACCACAAGATGTAACCATATAAGCACCATCCAGTTCAAGAAATAGGACATGTGCCTCTCCTTGTCACTTCCCCTCCTTCCTATTGAGAAGTGAATGACTGTTCTGCTTTTTAAAAAGTAATTGTATTTTGTGCCTGTCCCACTGGACCAGGAGGAGGCAAACTATGGCTTGCAGGCCAAATCCTGCCCAAGCTGATGGTTTTTACATTCTTAAATGGTTAAAAGAATTGCAAACAATATTTTGTGGCATGTGAAAATTACATAAAGTTCAAAAAAAGTTTTATTGGAACACAGTCATGCTCATTTCTTTACATATTCTCTGTGGCTGTTTTCACACTTTGATGGCACGAAGTGCTTTGAGTAGTTGTGACTGAGGCCACATGGTCCACAAAGCCCAAAATGCTTACTATCTGGCCCTTTACAGAATGTATGTCAATTCCTGCACTAGATGGTAAGCTCCATGAGGTTGGGGCTCAATCTCATTCACTTTTATATCCCCAGAGCTCTGTATAGTGCCTGGCATGTGCAAATGCTCCTGAAGAGTTTGTCTTAGTGATCAAACCGTGTGTTATCCTTTCATGGGGAGGAAGAGAAGGAGAGTCAGGATCAGACATCTCTGAAAGCCCTACAGGACTCCCCACCCAGAAACAGTATGTCTGGTGGTCGAGAGCATGGATTCTGGAATCAGACACACTAGGCTTGAATCCTTCTCCTAACACTTACTAGCGACATAATATAGAGAAATTTAATTTTTCCAAGACTTGTCTTCACCATATGAAGGAAAAAATAGCAAAAATGTCTTGTAAAGACTGAAACTAGGTGGCGTAGGTAAAATTGTTGGCCATAAGTTCTGAAAATGTTAACTCTCATCACCATTGTCAATATAATCACCTCCCCTATAATTCTGTAAATTAGACCTCAGGTATCTGTACAGTCCTGGGAGGGCTTCATTCACTCCTATCACTTCACCCTTCCCTCCCAAGCCCCATGCTTTCCCAGCCCACATCCTTAGAGTAACAGAAAATTGAGCCTCAAAGAAATCGAGTGACTTGTTCCCAGGCACCTGTAGTCCAGCCAGGTCTCGTACTGGGGCCTTCAGCTACTGCCCAGCCCCCACTCAGGCCCAGGTCAATAACAATGAGTCACTGGTTATAGATTAGGATGGTTTTGATCATTGGCCAGGACTCCGCAATGGGATCTTTTCTGACATGGCATTTTTTTATGCGGAGAATTAGCAGTTTGATTAATCACATTCCCAGACCTGAAGGCAATTTCTGAGCTGTTAATGCATTTCGAAACAGCAGCAATAACATATAGCAAAGAACAAGGCTGGGGAAGCTGCCAAGGCTTTCTTGTTCCAGGAGGGCTGCTTGGATCCAAAACTCTGCTCTATCAGTCAGCCTCCCAGCAGGAAACAGATGGCACACTCCAAAGGACTGACTGAAAAGAGTTTAATGAAGGAACTTTGTACAGAGGTGTGGCCAGGATCAAGGGAATGGTGGAGCACCCCCAGGCTAGCAACGGCGGGAAGCCACTACCACCCCAGGTCCTGAAGAAGCAAAAGGAGGGAGCAGTTTCAGAAGTGGTGACAGCCGTAGCTGTAGGAAAGGGCACCGGACAGCAGCTGTGCTCTTTGGTAGAGGAAGGCAGGGCGAAGAAGAGTAGGGAATGGATTTGGAGGCGCGGGGTGGGTGCTCCAACAGGACCAGGCTTCGAGGATGCCTTCGCCTGCTGTCTAGCCCCTCTGCCCATCCCATTCAGCCTCCCCACCATCAGGGCCAGCAGGCCCTTTACCTTGTCCAAAGGCTTCACTGAAAAACAAGGCAATTGTGTGCTCTGAACATGACCCGCATGTTCTCAACCTAAGATGATTTTGCCCCCTAGGGGACAGTTAGTTGGCAATGCCCGGAGACATTTTTGATTGTTACAACTTGGGTTCCTGGCATCCCAGTGGGTAGAAGCTAGGGATGCTGTTAAACACCCCGGGGTGCCCAGGACAAGCCCCAGTGGCAAAGAATGATCCGGCCACGATGTCAATAGTGCCGACGTAAGAAGCCCTGCTTTAGACTAACTGCTCTGGTCTCCTGTCACAGGCCTGGCCTACTTCTCTGTTCCTGCCTCAGCCTCCAGCTGGGCCCCATCCTTGCACCCTCTCGCCCAGCCACTAGTTAGGGAGGTTCCCAGTCCTCTCTCAAGGCTGCCCACTTTTGGCTGACCCTCAGTGGTGTCCCAAGCACACTGCTGTCCTCCTCCAGCGGGCATCAGTGATCCCCTGTATCCCTGCCTTCCTCCCTGCACCTGTTCACAGCCAAGCCCAGCTCTTGACTCAAGCCTTTGTAGCTGCACCCTGCCCTCCTTCCCCTCCCCTCTAAGGCTGTCTGTCCTCCAGACCCTGTTCCCATCACCCGCTCCAGCCTCGGCTACCCACCCCCAGTAATTTTTCTCCTTGCAATTGATAGTTCTTCGAGGCCTACCCCTGCTAGACATCATGGAACAAAGCAGACTTTATCTAGAGCTCGCCAAGGTCAAGCTCAAAGCTATTTACACTCTTATCTATGCCCTTATTTCCCCTGGAGTGCCCTCCCCACCAAACACATACACCTTAATTTCACTGATGTTCTCGAGGGTCTTGGTTGCTGCTGAGCCAGTGTCTTGCACAGGCTTCTCCGGCAGAGAAATTAGGAGAGTCTGCCAAAAGTAACCTCTCCCAGGGCACCTGGGTGGCTCAGTCCATTAAGCGTCCGACTTTGGCTCAGGTCATGATCTCACAGTTCATGGGTTCGAGCCCCACATCAGGCTCTGTGCTGACAGCTGAGCCCAGAGCCTGCTTCGGATTCCGTCTCTCTCTCTCTCTCTGCCCCTCCCCTGCTCATGCTCTGACTCCGTCTCTCAAAAATAAAGAAAAAAAATTTTTTTTTAAATTTTTTAAAAAAGTAACCTCTCCCTGTGGCCCCTGGGGAGAGGGCTCTTTGGGGGACACAGCCTCAAACAACACAGGAAGAAGCAGTGGGCAGTTGAGCATGGGGTCTCCTGGCGCCCGGGAGGCCCTGAAGGCCTGACCCTTCGCTCTCCTCACCTACTGCCCTGCCCAGGGCCTCTCCTATCCCCATTCCCCATCACCTTCCCATAGCCCTATCAAGGCTCAGACACAGCAGGGGAGGAATCCAGCTGTTTAGCGCCCTCCCCCACCCCCACCCCAAGATGAAGTTGGCTGAGATCCAGACTGACCAGAATGCCCACCACTGTTATTCCTTTCCCCCAGATATCCCTCCAAACCCAGAAAAGCAAGCGGGTTTCTCCAGAAATCCCAGCCTGAGCTCTCCACCTCACTGCCCCCAGTGCCTCCCCACTCCACCACCAGCAGCCAAGCCACCGCCCTGGGGAAGGGCCCATGCCCTCCTGGACTGAGGGAAGGCCAGCAGAAGCAAGAGAGCTAGGATCGGGCTGGGGGGTGGGGAGGCAGGGCGCAGGGGGCGCCCCCCCACCCTTTTACTGCAATCCCACCAGCTCTGTGATGGGAGGGGTCTGCACCATGAACTCCTCATAGCGACTGAGGAACAGCCGGAAGCGAGCCAGGTAGGAGTCCTCGTTGTAAGGCAGCCGCTTCTCCTGGAGGAACCGGGACACCACGGGCTTCACCTGTCAGAAGATGGGCAGGAGGAAAGGCCGCTGAGTCAGGACTGTGGGCAGGTCCCTCCCCACGGGGGGCCACCCTCCTCCCAGTCCCTTGCTCCATGAGGCTTTGGAGGAGATGAGGGGTAGGGACCATTCCTGCCTCTCCCCTCCCAGCAGGCAAGGGAAAAGGGTGAGGGGTTTCTCCCCACTTCCTTCCCCAGGGCTCTCAACTCCACGACAGTCCTCCTTGGCACAGGGGATAAAAGCTAGAGCTCCCTGGGGTGCCTGGGTGGCTCAGTCATTTAAGTATCTGACTCTTGATCTTGGCTCAAGTCATGATCTCACGGTTCGTGGGTTCGAGACCCACGTCAGGCTCTGCACTGACAGCACCGAGCCTGCGTGGGATTCTCTTTCTTCCTCTCTCTCTGCCCCTCCCTCCCTCACACATACACATTCTCTCTCTCAAAAATAAGCATTAAAAAAAAAAAAAAAAGCAAAAGCTAGAGCTCCCTTTTACCAAGCACGTACTGTGTGCCTAGCATTTCAGATCCATTTCATTTCAACCTTAAAGCCTGCTGCTAGCAAGCCCTGCTTACCCTCATTTTCCAGAGGGGGAAGCTGAGGCTCCGAGACATTCAGTTAACTTGTCCAGAGTCACAGTGCTGGTAAGGAACCCACATGCCTCTGGTCAGAAATGCACTCTGCTGCTCGTACACGGGGCAGTCCTTCCAGGGAAACTCTGCCCAGGCCAGCCTGATCCTCGCCTACCTTCAGGCACATGTTGTCAGAGAGCCGGGGGAAGAGGTGGTGCTCCACGTGACAGCTGACAATGGAGTGGCCGAACGCCCATTCCAGTACAGGCAGTCGGGGCAGGTTCAGCACACCCAGGCTCATCATGTGAATCCTCTGAGGCTTCTTGTCCCGAGAGAACATGGGCAGCCCAATGTGCTGTGACAGACACGTGGGTCATAGCTTCAGGCTGGGCTGGGCAGCCCCACGCCTCCCCACCCTGCCCCGGACATCCTCACCCACCACGTGGGGACCCAGAGGGTCCTTCTGCCTCCCTCACCCCCACTGTGGCGAGACTCTCCTGTCTGTGCTCTGAGCTCAGTCTCACCCATCTCTGGGTCTCTCTCTCCACCTGTACAACAAGGGGCGTGGCCTGGGTACCCCCTTGAACCCCGTGGTACTGACATGCTCACGACTTCCCACTGCGCGCTTTCACGCCACTCTGCCTTTATCTCATCCTGGAGAGACCCTTCTCTGCTCTCTTTCCCCCCATCAAAATCCTGCTCAGGGTTCAAAATCAAGTTTGTGCACCCTCTTGCTGTTTCATTCAACAAGTATGGAAATATGCCTCCTCTGCCAGGCTCGGTCCTGGGTCTTAAGGATTTGCAAGTGAATGGGCGCTTCCGCTCCAGTAGGACAGGGAGGCAGGACCCACAGCTGTGTCCTAGGAGATGAAGTCGTCACTGGCAGCATGGCAGGTGCTGGAATGGGGAAGGATACTCTGACCTCCAGGCACCTAGTCTTCGTGTCCAGGGAGCAGGGGCGCTTGCCTATGGAAATGGCCCTAGAACTGAGTGCTGAGCCCCAGGCCTCCCCTGAACACCTCCCATCTCCACCCCCTCCATCTGTGAAGGGCCTCCTCACTGGGGTCATCACAGTAAGTGCCCTGAGGGCAGGAGATGGGGTCCTAATCACCTGTGCCCCCACAGGGCCTAATCAAGTGCCCTATGCATAGAACTTTCTCAAATCTTGGGACACCTGGGTGGCTCAGTCAGTTGAGCCCCCTCCGACTTCGGCTCAGGTCATGATCTCATGGTTTGTGAGTTCGAGCCCCACGTCGGGCTCCATGCTGACAGCTCAGAGCCTGGAGCCTGCTTCAGATTCACGTCTCCCTCCCTCTCTGCCCCTCCCCCACTCGTGCTCACTCTCTCTCTCTCTCTGTGTCTCTCAAAAATGAATAAACATTAAAAAAAATTTTTTTTTTAAGTTTCTCAAATCTTCCATCCACGATCCACATGTGAATGGCAGCTGGTGTTGCAGAGAAGCAAACTCTTTACCTGAAATCCAACTTCTCTGTGATGACCCACAGAGAGAGGTTGGGGTGGGAGGTGGGGGGAGTGCATCTCTCTCCCCAGAACAGTGAGTCTAGCCTGTGCTCAGGGTCGGGGAGGCCTCACCTGGAAGATGTTGATGTGGAGGTAAGGGTGGGCCAGCAGGGACCTGGTGGTGAACATGCACAGCAGGGCCGAGCCGGGGCTCCCGAAGCCAGACACATTCAGAAGCAACCAGTAGTGAGCATAGAGGCCCAGGGAAATCAGGCCCAGCGTCCGCACAGCCGACCTGAGCTCCACCTTTCTCAGCCGCTCTGCCAGAGGGAGCAAGAAAGAGAGTGTGGGGGTGGGGGGGAGGAAAAGCCTTCCCCCCCACCTCACCCCCGGCCCAATGGTGCTAACTAGGGCGTTAACTAGGGCGACCGTTCATCCACACAGCCCTGAAAAGTAGATTCACCCATTTTATGGATAAGGAAACAGCATTAAGCAACTTGGCCAAGCCCACTCTGCTGGTAGGTGGTAAGAGCCATCCACAGCTGGGACCCGGGTCCGGCTGCCCTCCAGTCCCTCCTTCCACCACACAGTACTGCTCTCACGATATTACAGTCCACAACCCGCAATAGGGCGCAAGGCCTTTGCAAAGTATTTTTGCATCTATGACCTCATGATGCTTTCACACCGCCCTTGAGGACCAAGTAAGAACCTGAGGCTCAGACTGGTTAGGTTACCTGCCTGTGGTCATCAGCCAGTAAGTGGCACAGCCAGACTTGGCCCGGGGGCCGAGGCTCCTTCCACCCTGCCTGGCTGTCTCAGAAAGCTTCCGGTCTTAACTTGGGGCTCCCAGCTTCCTCTACAAGCAGCCTCCAGGAAGCCAGGAGGGGGAGTAAGGGAAGTGGGGCCCTGGCATACTCACCAACAGCCACCAATGGGGTGAGGACGGGGATCAAGAGAGGAGCAAGGAACATGTACACGTAGCGGTTGAGGCAAGGCAGCCTCCACGTGCTCGAGTCCCCAAGGCCCAACACATTGGTGTAACCATGGTGCATCTTGACGTGTCCATACTTGCCGTACTCTGCAGAGAAGGACGAGCATACCTAGAGGAGGGAGCCAGGGAGGGCACCGGGGGCCGGGTCAGGCACAGTCAGGCAAAGTAGGACCTCAAGGACACCCACCGTCCCCGGATGCTGCATTTCCGGGACCTTCCGGCCTCACACCCCGGCTAATCAGACCATCTACTCTCAGGTTCCGCGACCACAGAGTAGCAGCAAGTCAAAAGAACAGCGTCCACTAGGGGTGGCGATGCTAAGCGTTTGGAGGTGAGACGCCAACCCCCACGATTGCCACTCTGTCACTGGCCACCCGAGCAAGCCTGCAAGCCTGACAGGGCTCTCAGGGGACTGGGCACACTGCACCCAGCTGCAATTATTTTGTTCATGTCTATCTTGGAAACATCTGTATTTCCATAACGCTGCTTTGCATTCGGAGCCCAGAGCGGCAAGGGGAGGGGCGCAAGAGTGGCCTGGCCATGAGGGTGGCGCCCAGGGTGAGGAGCCCGGGTGGGGGGCTGAGTGTGAACCTCTCCCCAGGGGTCACTCCTCTGGCACGCACCCTCACCCTCGTGGGATTCTTCGTAGCTGCCCAGGAGAAGCAGAGGCTCAGGGACCCCAAGAAGGGCAATCATTCTGAATGCAAAAGAGGCAATAAGGAGTTTCTTATGCAGATATATGCAAATGAAAACGCAGATAACAGCTTCCTCCAGTATTTCATCCAGACCAGAAGATCTTGTTAATTTTATCCAAGATCGCTGCCTGCCTGTTTCCGGAAGGACTTGAAGACTCTTCCAGCGCCAGTCACCACTGTGAGCCTCGAAAAGACAGCCGAACACCCTTCCCTGAGTGCCCAGCGTGCTGCACTTTACAAATGTGATTTGCTCATCTCCCAAGCCTAGTGAGTCAGCGGCGTTATTATTCACAGTTGACAGAAGCAGAAACTGAGGCAGAGAGAGGCCACGTGACCACCCCAGGTGACTAACTCCAGGCCACTTGGCTAGGAAGGTGGCAGAGGTAGGATCTGAACCCAGAATCCACCCAAGATAAGCCGTAAGGCCCTAGAGATGAGCCGCTAACTCCAAGAGAGCAGGAACCCAGGCTCTGGGCCCCAGGCAGCAGAGGCAAAGCCAGGACAAGACATATAAGGAACGACACTGTCTTCACACTCTGTTTGCAGCAACCTTCTCCCTCGGAATGAAACGGCACTGAAATACAGCCGGAAGGTCTAGCTAAAGGATGCTGGGGCGGGGCGGCGGGGGAGAGGGACAGTTAGGGAGGTCACAACTGCGGTTTTACAACAGACACGTCAACCCCATATTGCAGGGGCCCCTCTGGAGACAGAGGATGGGGTCCAGCACAGCCCTGCTAGGAGTCCGTGACAGCAGCAGGAGGAGGTAATCTGCCTAGGAATGAGTTCTGCTGTCTGTTTCTATAAGCTCGCAGAGGGACGAGGTTGGGCCAGGCTGCAGAGGGCGGGCAGGTCACGTGTCAGCTGAAGTGACATCTCGTGCAGGCCTGCTGGTCTCCAGAGCACGCACCCATCGGGGCCACGTGGTTGGTTTGGGTTCCAGGCAGAAGCTTTCAGCAGCGGGCACACAGGGCTGTGGCTGGGGTCTGCCGGGACATCCTCAGGGGCCAGCCTGCCTCTGTCCAGGGCTTCCAGGTGTGTGTTTTGATCCTCAAGGCTCTCTCCCATGTAACTGGAACCAGCAACTGGTTTTGTTTTTGTTATATTTTACAGAGAGCGGGTGAGAGGGGCAGAGGGGAAGAGAGAGAGAGAGACAGAGAGAGAATCCCAAGCTGGCTCCATGCTCAGAGCAGGGCCGGATGCAGGGCTCAATCCCACGACCCTGGGATCATGACCTGAGCAGAAATCAAGAGTTGGACACTCAACCAACTGAGCCATCCAGGTGCCCCAAGAAGCAACTGTTTTTAATTGCTGCTTCTGTGCACCTCTCCGTCAAGGGCCAACCACACCTGTACTGCGCTGGGACGAAGCTGCCTTTCCTTTCCAGCACGGGCTCTGCATCTCCACGCACACTGGCGGCTCACCGCACTCTGACTAATGATGTCACAAACGACCTGGCGCCTGAGCAGGGCTGAGCATGGTAAGAACTGGGCCCTCAGGGACCCCGTCGGGTCCTCAGTCAGCTTCTCAGCCACATGGCCAGACCCCAGGAAGCTGGGAGCTGAGCTGCATGTGACTCAGTGCACACTTCCAGAGTCTGTACATGGTTGGCCTTTTTATATGAATAAGAACAGATTTGGAGCTATTTCTATAACACTGGAATTCTCACTCCCTTCTGGATGTTCCTTCCGTAGAGGAAAGGAGGGGGTGGCTTTGGGCTGGAAGAGAAGACTGCACACCCTGCCGCGCGTCTCCTGCGCATGTACGCCCATCAGCCAGAAGGCAGGGGAGATGGCCAAATGCCGCGGAGGTAGCTGGAAAATGCACTGTCCGCTGTGAAGGACTGGGCAGAGGTCTCACCCAAGAGGATTCCACATGCAGACCCAGGGAGAATTCCAGAAGCCTCAAGGCTTGATGATGTCTCTCCTCCTCCTCCTCGTCCTCCTCCTCCTCCATTCCCTTCTTCTTCTTCTTCTTCTTCTTCTTCTTCTTCTTCTTTTTAGTAATCTCTACATCCGAAGTGGGGCTCAAATTCATGATCCCAAGATCAAGAGTCACATGCTCCACTGCCTGAACCAACAGGGTCCCCAACGCTGGTGTTAACCTCTTAATGTCAACATGCAGTCCCTCCAGAAGACTTAAGGGCTCCAATCTCCTAGCAGCACTCAGGCTCTACAAGTGGCCACAGTGTGCATGGGCAGATACCAGTGAAAGTCCTCTTGCCACCTGCCCTCTGCTAAGTATCAGGGACCCCAAGTCTCCCATCATTCACTTCTTCCTTCACTCAGCTGTTTGCTCTCTCAGGCATCCTCCGCCCTCCGCCGGTGGCCAAAGGTAATTAACAGCTAAGCTGGTAGTTTGAAAACAATTATTTTTTGAATAGGAACTATGCTTACATAATTCTGAATTCAAAAAGTGGGCAGTGACAGGTTGTCTTTCCTTTTTTTCTTTTTTTTTTTTTTAATTTTTTTTTTCC